TGACTTAGAGGATCACTCGTTAACGTCTGAAGAGGTCTGCATTTGTTCGAAGATTCAGTGGGAACAATATCACTTACCGGGGTGCGAGTACACCCAACTGACGAGTCCTAAAGAGGACGAAACCTAGAGTCTTACTTATTCTGTTTGACTAAGCAAATGCTAGGAATGACAATAGTATCATGGTTGGGACAACACAGTTACAATCAGTTATTACTGTTTATTTCGAATAGACTATATGCATTCACTAACTCGTCAATCAAACCTACGTTTCAACAGAACGCTACATTCATGAGGAAGGATATGTAGTCTTTTCAGATACGTTTGATCATCATCTAGCCCAGTGAATGTTGTCAAGTTCTGATAATCATGAAAAAAGTTTGATTTTATAGATGTCAGAATGAATATTTAACCGGATATGATGAATAGAATTGCATGCGTTAATGTTCTATAAAGGAAACATGTAAAATTCTAATGTAATCGAAGTCAGTCTCTTACATTTGATGACTCTATGGAAACCTTTTGCTCAGAGAAATTTAATCCATTTAATCCTAATTTAACTGAGTCCTGCTGTGGTCCAAATCTTCATTTCACCTTCAATCATTACCCAGTATCAGTACTAGACTAGCAAACCATGGCTATTTCAGATATTCAAAATGATAATCAATATGATGCTCCCCCTCTCTAATTCAAGTTGATTTGGATTGGGATGAGAAGTGCTGACTGGGCAGCCAGTATGAGTATGATCACGAATTCACATGGCAATAAGACAAAACAAGTGATTAAAGTAAAATGAAACTCTAGTACGCATTCGGGCCTTGTAGCTCAGTTGGTAGGGGAGCGGGCCAAAAGCTCACTGGTCGCTAGTTCGAGTCCCACCGTGGTCCAAATTTACACTCCATCTTCAATCATCACTCAGTATCAATGATAACATTTTTGTTTTAAGTGGCCATCTATTGTGTTCAATGAAAGTTGAATGCAAGCGTATCAGGCGCAAAGGGTTAGGCACTCCTTTTATCGATTCATCTTCCTTGTCATGCCTTAAACTCATTCATCCCGTTTAAGTCAGTTAGTTAGTATCGAAATGAGACGTCGGATTTCTGTGTGATAGTTCATGTTGCCACATGTCATATCAGCACTTGAAGATAGGGGAAAACAGATGAAAAATAGAGAGTAACACAAACATGTAAAAAGAGAGGAATAAAGGATAAAAACAATGACGAAGCATTATGCGACGAGTAAGGTGAAGATAATGTATGGATGCATCTGAAATCGATCCTGAGTCACACCACCTAGTCTCCAAGCAGTAGATACTGTCCTTGAAGTCTACATTTCCCTACACGGCTCAGACCAACATCCAAAGACTTTATGGACCGCCTGCAACCTTTCTCCATCCTAAAATTACTTCAACAAACAGCGGAGAAGATAGTCACTGGGTATGAGTCACACATGCCCAAGTCAACAAAAGCTTAGAAACTCATCAGCCGACATACCTATCTGAAACTCTAAGCCTCGAAAATCGAATTCCACTCAATAACCATGTGCACGTTTGTGCAGTAGGCAATGGGCCACACCTATTGTGTGAAGGCTGACGCTTCTACCTGGTTATCGAAAACTCATTAAGGAGAAATAACTTTTGGTGAGTATTTTTCTTTGAATAGTAGCCTTATAGATAACGCTCATGTGTTTGAAGAGTTGAGCGATAATTTTGAGTTTTGCTTGGAAGGGTAAAGATATAGTCATATGATGTACCTAATGTAAGGTAAAATACACACGTTGGGTTATACTGCTAGCCAGCAACGAATGTTACGGATATTACTGAATGAAATATGAGCGAAAAGTTCTGAGAATCCCGCCTTTTTAGCACACTATAAAAATAAAATTGTCACTTGAAACCCCCTAACTTCAATGGGATGCGGGCACGAATGTCGTATTTCTGAATGTTAAAAATCAACTAAAGAATTTATTTCAAAAAACATTTTGTATTCACGTGATAATGTATTTATTTCATCATCAACATCAACCAACATAGGACCAGGCATTACTGCTCAACAGTTCAAGTTGCCACACCTCATATCAGCACATCAAGTGACGAGGCAATAAAATGGAAGATGAAGGAAACAAACATCGATCCAAGGAAGTAGAAAGTAGTAAGAGAGAGAGAGAGAGAGAGAGAGAGAGAGAGAGAGAGAGAGAGGAAGAATGAGATGATGAGGCTGCGTATACCGGTTAAGATGAGGATAATGTGTGTGTGTATACATCTACGTCACTGATATCGGTTCTGAGCCATAACAACTAGAGTCTGCAACCAGTGGTTTAAATGGATTTTGCGGATTTACCATATTGGCCAGGAGAAGTTAATCGATTAGCTTCACTCGGGTCCTGTATACGTGTCTCACAAACACACCACACATCCATGGTCTGACTTGCTAGAGTTTTGGCCAATGAAGCTTGTTGGTCAATTTGACAGAGGGTGCGGACATTGAAGGCTCCAATGTGTAATTTGTAGCGTAGTATAAAGAGACAAGTGATGCTGTTCTGTGGACTCAGATCGTTGTCGAAAGCTACAGAGCTAGAATGAATTAAAGATGATGTAAGATTTTTAATTGACAGACGTGAAGGAAGACTAGAAGGTAGGGTTGAGGGAGGTGTATAATGGTCTGAGGGTACTTGAGTGCTGACAGAGTTATGGTGGTGGTTAACACTTCCCGGCTGCCTACACTATGGAAGGCTAGATCTTCTTGAGATACCTGAAAAATAAGGGTCAGTGCGACGTCACAGAGTCCAGGGGACATCAGCTAGAAACCAGTCTTTCTGATGCCACAAAAATTAGCCTGTATTATGGAGGATGTGGTCGGACATACGTTCTGTGGTTTTGGAACAGCATTAATCAGTGATCTAAGCCATCATAATGTATCATTTCATTGTTTAAGAACATGTTAAGGCTAGGAGTAACTGATTTTTGTCTAATCACTACCCAAAAGACGTTTTTGGTACGGTAGGACCTCAAGGGAACAAGTATTCCACCAGTGCAGCTCGTTAGGTCATCGTGGTATACTAGCCCAATCATCACGTCAAGATAACAGCTGTTGGTCATTTATTTACTCCACCGGTTAAATAAGCAGCACATAGTAAAAGTAAAGATAGATATCCATCATAGTAGACTTTGATTAATGTTAACCGGTTGGAGGCGATTGGCAGGAAGAACTGGACCTACGTTTCATGCATTTTTACAAAATAATCGATTTAGTTTGATCAGCAGTCATGACTAGACACAACTTATTACTCTTCAATGACCGATCAATGTAGCTAATCTTGTTCTACAGGAGACCAGTGACAGCCCAAATAGGTCAATAGTGAAGTCTATCAATGCAGCACTAGGAAACGTAAGTTCGAATCCCTGAGGAGACATTATTTCACTTGAAGTTGTAGAGACCCAACAAACTAACGGCAATCATTATATTATGCATATACTGACCGCAAATGTAACTTTATTGACTAGTCATGAATTCCCATAGAATATTCTATCTCTATAATTGATTAGTGAATCTGACACAGAAGGCAGTGACGTAGCACTACTTACTAGATACTGGTATTTTGGTGTTAATGCCGGCAAACTAAATAGACGGATGGAATTGTAGCTTTGTAATTTCGGCAGTCAACGTTTAACCAGTAGGTATCGGGTTCGAACCTATCTCTGCCAACTAAGATGAGGGCAAAACCAGATAATATCACCAGCCCTCGTACAACACTTGTAGCTTACTGTCTAGTACAGGAAGCTATAAGTGACTGTTAACCCATATATATATATCCTAAACATATTAACTAGTGCACATTATGCTCTAACCTGTTCAGTAGCTGCTTTATCTGGTGAACTGTGGAGTTTCTGTCTTTCACAGAGTTTACTGATGTTCGATTGCCGCAATAACGTTGCCTGTTGTAACCGAAGTACGTAAAAAAGAGTGTTTAGGAAAGATTTGATTTTGTCTACATTAAATGTTAAAATTACGGTGGTTTGTGAGTCATACTTTAGTTTGCGAGTGTTAGACGAGTTTATTGAGTTGTAATTGCTGAGTCATCGGCTGATGTTTTCTGCTTCCTTTTTCCCTGCCAGATTCTTGTGGTCACCACTATACTCACGCTCCTCTACCAACACACCCACCCCCCACTGCAATAACATAGCTACATACACGCTAGACGAAAAGCTATCAACAGCTGGTTGTTACGCGCTAACCTATCAACAAGAACATACGTTTCGATGCTGTAAAATATACCGTGCCGCTGTATACTATATCAGATAAAACTATTGAAGTGACAGACAGAATATTACGAAATAGTAGAAACGCTACTGACGCAATGAGACACTTGGACTGGATACGTATAGCGACTGTTCACCCTCACAACATGATACTTCACTGAGCCATAAAAATAAGAAAACAAAGACAGGCCTGCGACAGTAAAGAAGAGAAGACAACTTTATTTCTCCTGAGAAAATAAAGCCACTAGGTAAGAAGTTGGATACTTATTTTGATTGGTCAGCTGAAGGACAAAGTTGTCCAATAAGGTGTTTCCTGACCATACCGTAAACTGAAACAAGTTTGCAATCCAGAACTTCTACCTTAGCGGCTGATGACTTAGAACATTTGTTTCGATTTAGGCCGCTTTTCGTCAACTATCCAATCTAGAATTATACTTCATTATTGTGAATGAATTTTATACTTGCACTGAAATATTTCACCTAACTGATGGATTTCTGTCAGCGCATAAACTAAAATCACGTTCAACTGAGCAAGAAGACTATAGCGGGACTTTGAACATTAGAAGAGCAGTGGGTTTGCGTTGTGACACTGTGCTAAATGACACTAATAAAGTTCTGAAGGCTAGAAGGATATGAAAAATAATCGAGATGATAATGAATAGGATGTTCAATTTTTTGAATACGATAAAAAGGAATGAACCACTGTGATTAAATTTCTTCGTTCATGTTGTGCATAATTTAGCACTTATAACACCAGTTCTTCTTGCCAACTCCAGAATGGAGGATTTCTATGGAAGTAGAAAGTCCAGGAACACAAAAAAATATAAATGAAATGGTGTTTGAACTTGTTGTAATCACGGGATGTGATGAATTTGCTTTGTTATCTTAATAATCTAGAAATGTGACTGAAAATTAAAAAAAAGTACTCAGAATGAATACATTAGAAAGAATATCTTTGAAAGTACCTGTTTTCGCTCTTTTATTTGCATCCAGCACATACTTCATATTCATCCCAGAAACTAAGCACTGTTGAAATTGACAATCTCTCTGAGTCAGTGATTTACTGCACATTTGATTGCCTATAGGTCATCCTTTTTACCGTCAAACTCAATTATATTGAAGCTGTTTTCACTGTCTAAAGCTCGCCACACTTCGACATCTACGAACATATAACAAACTAGTTTACCTATTAAGCTGGAGAGCTACTGATGTTTAAATTTCGTATCTCAGTAGAGTATTGTGAAGGCATATCCTGTCAGCTAGTTGTAAAGTTTCATTTGAATTTCTCCAGATATCGTGTTCCACTGGTAATCAAGCTCGGATTTTCTTTTTGCTGATTAAGTAAGGTGTCCAGTGAAGGAGTCAATGTTGATATCAGCTAAGTGACATTCTTTATCTAGTTTACTCTACGGGTCAGTATCTGAGCTGACCAACCAATGCACATGGAATGTACAGAAGGAATCTAGTACCAGGAAAAAATTATTGACTGTAGCTTAGATGACTGGTATTATACGGTGCAAATTTGACGCATGTTAGCCGACTTTTAGGCATCTTAAGCTTTCGATATTCACCTAAACTCTACTTAACGTATTCATGCAACCGAGTTCCCATAGTGAAATTTACAAACACAACTGTTGTCCATTTTTAGTACGCCTATCTGGATATCAACCGCGCTTTATCTTTCATATGAGTAGAATATCTCCTCATCGTTCTAGTACCTCCTAAATTCTCTTCATCTCCTCACTCTAACCTCACACTCCAACTTTGTGGGTTTGGGTTGAGGGTTCAAGTTCACAGAACAGCACAGTTAATCTTCAAAAATTGCGTTTTAAAGTTTACATTGTAACTTTCAATATCATCAACATTCGATAAATCGGTAAAAACAAACTGCACTAAGTATGAATAAAGAAAAATTGGCAAAGATGTGCCTTTTGTTTTTTACAGACACACAAATAGCACAAAAGTCTCTTCATTTAAATGGCTTTATCCGGTCAAAGTTGTTATTTTGTGATTCATGCATTGGGTATCAGAGATGCTGAAAGCCAGTTCTCATAGTGTAATGTAATGAAGACACAAAATTTAATGCTATTGCAAACTGTGAACCTTTCTACTAGACTATAGTTCATAGTCACAAATGATGTAGTACAATCAAAGGAGTACGGTGATATGGAGTTAGGGGGACCTCACCAGTGTGATACACTATGATAGATACTAGCTGGATAGAGGCAATCGAGTCTTTGCAAGAACTGGCGAGAAATCATGCTCCTGTTTAACCCAAGTAAAATATTAAGCAGCATCATCCCAGAGAGGCTAAAGGATGCGCTAGATTCAAAACTACGACCCAAACAGGCTGGCTGGCTGGATTCAGCAAGTACAAATCATGTGTGGACCAAATGGTGACGCTTCACTACGCATCATCATAGAACACAGTATACAATGGCAGTCAACTCTACACCTCAACTTCATCGACTTTGAGAAGGCCTTCGACAGCGTCGACCATCAAGTAATTTGGAAACTGCTTCAACACTACGGAATACCACAAACCATTATCAACCTCATTCAATAACGATATGAAGATGCCACATACCAGCCAAGTAATTCACAATGGGAAGCAGCTCAGTGATGCCTTTGAAGTGAAGACAGGAGTGAAACAAGGTTGCCTACTATCCCCCATGATATTTCTGATTGTGGTCGACTGGATCATGCAGCAAACAGCGGGGAGCGAGAAGAGGGGGATACACTGGACTGCGGAAAAGAACCTAGAAGACTTAGATTTCGCCGATGACTTGTGCTTGGTGTCAAATAAACTTGAAGATCTACAGGCAAAAACTAACAAGTTGGCAGAAGAGGCAGGGCAGTGAAGACGGGACTTCAAGTGAATATAGAGAAGACAGAGGTAGAGGTGATGAAGATACCCAACCAACAACTCCAACAACAACAACAAACTCCAATCACCATCAACGGGAGAAACTTAAAGGAAGTAGCCTCTTTCACTTACCAACTAGGCAGCACTGTTTCAATTACAGGCGGCACAGGCGAGGACGTCAAAGTCAGGATCGGAAAGACAGTAAGACAGGCCTTCATGCAATAATAAACCAGTATGGAGATCTTCCGCACCCAACATAAAGAGTGAACAAGATCCGGATTCTCAACACCAATGTCAGTCAAGTCAGTGCTTCTGTATGGTTCAGAGACTTGGTGTGTTACGAAAGGCATTTCCAACAAACCACAGACATTCATCAACAACTGCCTACACTGGCTCTTTACTGAAGATCAGATGGCCAGAAAGAATAAGCAACAAGAGACTCTGGGAACGAACCAAGCAAGAAGCTATCGCTGAACAAATATGCAGAGGAAGGAAGTGGAGATTGATTGGGAATACACTGAGAAGGCCGATTGGGGACATCACGCGCCACTCCAGGCCGTCGAGTGGAACCCCCATGAGAAGCAACGAGTTGGGCGTCGGAGGCGAGGGTGACATGGAGGAGGTCGTGCGAGGAGGAAATGAGAGCTTGTGGGCTGTCATAGAGCCAGGTTCAAAAGTCTGCAGAGAACAGAGTGCACTGAAGACGTGCTAGTGAAGCCCTATGTTCCATTAGGAACCCAAGGGACAAATAAATAAATAATAAAGAGGCAATCGATCCCCGGCTAGATGGGGTCACACTGCTGAGGAATCCGTACTAGGATGAAACAGCTATCTCGTGCTCCCAGGTTTTTAATATTCCCCCAACTGATGCCGGTTCATGATGAATACCAATTTGGAATCAATAAATCCCCCACAAAACCCTCCAAATGGATGGATGAATGGAAATGTTTAAGACACACCCCAGGATGCAAATTATTGTTTCAGAACCGGTGTTCATAGACGCTCAACTTGTTGACTACTTCAGCTACTTGCTTGAAAGTTGCATAAGTTTAGGGAGGTCAATGGTTGAAGAAATAATCAAGAAATAAATGTAGAAAGCTTTATTGATTTCCACTTACTTCACTTGTGGCACCAACGAAAAACATGACTACCTAATAATTGTTCAAGTGTCCTGAATAACAGTTGGCTCTGTTTTACTGTAAGCCTGTACCACACCATTACCATTATGTGGTAATGTCAGGGTATGAGCGATGAAGTTAGATGTAGAGTATTGCGTAATAGAAAAGTCAGCTGAACTGGTTGTGAAATTTGATGGATTCAGGTGAGTCGGTTGAGATGATGTTTCAGTGACAATCAGTGATATCGAACCGAATCGCTAGATATCTGCAACCATCAATTTCAATTGTAGAGTGGTTCATAATCAGAAAATTATAACTTGTTACATTTCATTTCAGAAATCGGTTGGAAGATACGAGTGACCAGACCAAGACATATATATATATATATATATATATATATATATATATATATATATATATATATATATCAGATAGTCACTACAAGAATGTAATAAGTGGCGACAGCCAACAGCCGTTTATACGCTGTTCGAATGAATGAATCTGTAAGTGAGAACTAGGAAGGACTGTGAGACTAGCTGATACCTGTTTATAGTCTCCCCCTACCCACCCACCAATGCAGTTTGGATGATGCACAGATGAATTCTAACAAAAGTTGTAGATTTTGCTACAGATAGTCATAAAGGCAGGCGACTTTAACGTTCAATTAGAAAAACTGATTCAGTCGCAAAGGCATCTTGGAAGCATTTACGAAAATCTGTCTCAACAAACCAACAACGGTGATCACCTCTCCTAATTATTTTGTTCCGAAAGCCAGTACTAACTTCATTCATAAGAGATACTATCTTACATGGCATCCACCGAAATCAAATCAACAATGGACACAGATAGATCATATTGCTATAAACTATTGTTGGAGAGGATGGGTCGAGGACTGCTGCTCTTTCTGGAGTACCCGTTTAGAGTCTAATCACGCATTAGTACAGGTAAGTGAATATCTGGACCAAACTGGCAGCAACCAAACCTGTATATGCTAGATTAGATGAAAAAGTGAAGTACGTATTCAGGGAGATAACCAAAAATTTATCTAGATGTGACAGCAATAGTCAACCTGACGAAGTGTGGTATGATATTAGATCTGCTACACAAACAGTGGTAAACACAGTTGACAATGTACATTTAAGTTAGCAAACTTCAATGAACTTCCACACCATCAAAAATGATTGGTGCGACAAGACTCATTCCAGCTGGCTCTCATCACAAAGAAGAAATAAAGTAGCTTAGACATAAATTGACTAAGAGTCTTCGCCAAGATCGTGAGCAGTGATGAGAAAGATGGAGAAGGCATTAGTATTAAGTGATATTCGCAATTGTTTAGGTTTACTAAAGATATCAGAGAGAGGAAGACCATGGCGAGACCATAACGGAAAACGATGGGACTCTGATAACGTCTCGGGACAGACGGCTACAACGTTGGGCAGAACACTTTGGAGCATAATTCAATGGCCCCACGGCAACGCTCTGATTGCCCACCACCCACCCCGAAACTGAATGGGACGGAGATATCGGTCATCGTAATCTCTTCGAAGTTGAGGCTGTTCCGAACCTAAAACTGTACAAAACAGCAGGACCTGATGGTTTGCTACCCGACGTTTCTAAGGGTACGAGCATTAAATTACTGAGTAAAGTAATGGAGGTAATAAGTTGTGTATAGGAATCGAACGTAGACCCGTCGGATTGGTCTGCTTCACTAACCACTCCAGCACATAAGAAAGGAGAGAATTCTTTTTGTGACAGCCATAGGGGAGTCGGTCTAGCATCGTGTCCGAATACCTAGGGTTATCCG